TCCTCTTTGGACCATATGATGCAGAGCTACAGTGAAAAGCAGTTGTGTGTTCATGTGAATGGGCACATTAAAAGTTCCATGCTTTAAGTGTTACATTCTTTATGTAATAAATGGAAAGGAAATTTATATTTGTGCCCCCATTTCTTGCTGATCCTGTGTGCACTTTAATGGATAAACTTGCAGCTCTGGATCATTGGATCATGGTTTTTGAGTCATGGATAGGAACTCACTTATCATTGGTTTCATACCTTGCTGTAAAAAGATTTGCTGATAGATCAAAAAAAAAGAAATTCTAATGTACATGCCAAATACTGTAAGATCTTGTTCTCTAGCAAAATCACCATGCATTGTTTTCATAATTATAAACATTAAATATAGAAGTACAGAAATGATAAACACAAAACATCTAAATTGAGGCAATCTAAAGGGAAAGTATGAGAAGAAATGGCAGAGTTGCCTAAAATAACATTACCCTTCTCACAGGTTATAAAAGCAGTCAGACAGTAGCAGTAGGCCTAGGTAAGTGTCCTATCCTGCCAGGTAGGGCTGAGCGGTGTATTGATTTTTGTATCAATCAAAGCATATATTGATATACTTGAATTGTGCGCTAAATTAATCATTGTCAAAGTGAACGCCTTAGCCTTAATTTGTTTAAGCTGTAATGTTGTTAGTTCATTTCATTTTAAAAATTGACAGACAGTTCAGAGGATAAAAGTATCATGAATTGCAGTGTTTGTTTTATTTTAAGGCTAATACCTTAAAATGAGGGTGTTTCCAGTTATTAAGTACACCTTCAATGGTTTTTATTGCTATTTGCAATATAGGTTTTCGATCTGTTTTATTCCTAAAATCAACAAACCAAGATGGCAGCACGTACAGACGCTGTCTCTGTGCTTTCCTTTTCTAAGAATGGCCACAGGGTAACACCAGTACCATACCTAGTCCAATCTGACCAACCTATCCATGCTATAAATGGAAAATCAAAATAAAAAATGAACTAACTGAAAAACAGTTGTTATCCTACAGTCATTGCATCATTCAATTCGGGCCTGCCTTGAACACTCTGTACTTCCTGTTTGCAATGGTTATAACTCTCCTGTTACTGTGGTGAAAGCCATGGTGGCACTTTTGCTATATTTTCTGAACCTACCAGATAGCACTGTTCAATAAAGGGCTAAAAGCAAGCCTAGAGCAAACCAGGGGCACCATCTGACGGTAGGTTCATGAGGTGTCATTTTGCTCTTCACTGCCTATAAGCATGTGAAATATTTTCTTAATCACACTGCTGATATGTGCAATATTTTCATATTTATTGTGAAATTGAAACACAAGGAATGGAATACATCGCACTTACTTTAAACACCTATTCTATTTACTTATTTTTATTTTGCTTTTTGTTTAACCAGTTTGTATTCTGTTTCATTCATATCCTTTCATCTTATTTTTTTCTGTATTTGTATCCTTCCTCTGCAGTGTGTTGGCGTCTGCCCTGGGTTGGTTCCCGCCTGCGCCTATTGTTCCGGGGATAGGCTCCGGTCCCCCGCGACCCCAGCTGGGATTCAGCGGTTTCTGAAAATGAATTGATGGATGAATGTATCCTTCCTGACTTTTTCTTTCTTGCACATGGTCTCTCATTCATTGTACTTCATTCAATCATTCATTCATCAACAAATGTCCATACATTCCAGTCATCAAGTTTAGCAACTCTATAAACTCTATAAAAATCCTGTTATTGACTCAGTGATTCACCTATCAAACAAATGATCCTGCATTTCATTGCTTAACAAAGCATGGCTTCCCGATTTACCACAAAAAAGTTAGTTTAATATTTGAGCTCCCCATCCAGACTATTTCATTTGTATTGGATATTCTCATTCAGAATGTCTAAATGAAAAACCTCTTACAATTCAGTGGTCTGAATATCCAAATTAACGGAGCAGGAGATACCCAGGCCGATTGTGTGTGAGTCTCAGAGAATGCACTCTTTATATACAGTCTTTCCAAGTCTACTTAAGCCACTTAAGCATTTTACCTTAATATGTCAAAGGTGAGCTTATTTGTTCTGTTATTTTTTGTGGGATTTATTTCCACCTTTTCTTCTGAACAAACTCCCCGTGGCGGAATTGTACAAACTACGCACCAATTGCGAGAGGCGCATTGGAGAGCACATCAGCGACAGAGAGATGCCTGCCGGATGGGAGCTAATGGAGCAGGAGGACGACAGCTCGGACGGCGGCTCGAACCGCGGAGCGGCACCCTTGCCGGGGTTTTTGCGGGCTTTGGCCCGACTAGCGGCCGGACGCCGACGCCGGGTGTGCGATCTTCCATCCTGCTTGCTCTGCCCGTGCAGCCGGCTTCGCCTGGACACAACGAAAGATCGAATTACAGGCAAGGTACCATCAGTCCGATTGCCATTATCCTGGCTACCATTAACCAGACTACTATCACTGGCCCCGCTGCCACTGGACTACCAACTACAAGCCTAGCTACTACCGGCCCGGCTAATACCGGCCCGGATATTAGAATCCCGGATACTAACAATCTGGCTACTACCCGTCCAGCTACCAGAAGGCTGGCTCCTAAGCAAGGTCCGGTTACTAGCCTAGCTACGACAAAACAAAAAAATACAAAACTTTTTCAAACTGTTAATCATGCATCTGTATTGTGGAACCCGAACACAAAGCCAAAAGGAATATTTGGAGGGCATTTGAACATACGTAGTGTTATTTCAAAAGCTGAACAATTGGAACATTTACTTATGGATTCAAATCTGAATTATTTTTGTTTGACAGAGACTTGCTTAAGCCCCACAACTCCCTTATCCGTAATTAGTGTCCCTGGGTATAACATATGCAGACGAGATAGGGGAAAGGGTAAAGGGGGTGCAGTCTTAATCTACGTGAAAGATATTGACAGTTATCAAATAGACCTCCCCAATCAAACTTTGGAATGTGTTGGAGTCTCAATATCACTATCACCTCAAATGTCTTTTATTGTGCTTGCTGTGTACCGTCCGCCAAATGCAACAAATGAATTTTATACTGGATTAGCTGAAATAGTCAAAAAATATGAAAAAAAGGAAGTGTTGTTAATGGGTGATCTAAATGTAAATTGGTTTGACAAAGCATGGAGGAAAAATCTTAAGAAAATCACTAACTAAAGTATAAAGTAAGGAGGAAAAGGGCTTTGTTCCAGAAAATAACTGATGATCACAGAATAAAGCAAGAGTATCTAAATCTACAGGCTGAGTTAAAAAATGAAATTAGACGAGCTAAAAGGAATGTCGAAAGGAAGATTGCATTGGAGGCTAAGGATGACGTTAAAAGTTTCTTCCACTATTTTAACTCTAAAAGAGCTCTAAAAGCTGAAATTACTAATCTGCAGGATAGTAAGGGTCTTAATTGAAAACGACAATGATATAGTAAATGAGTTCAATGATAGTTTTGCACGGGTATTCACTGTTGAGGACACTAGTAACTTACCAGTTCTT